TATATATATATAATCAAAGATAAATCTCCATTTTAGTCATTGTTATGGACAATAAAGTTATATTGAATTGAATTCAATGTTTTTAAGTTTGATAGAATATGTGGTTACAAAGACTGGATCATTAAACCTGACTTTACCCTAATAATAATAAAAATAGTGATGATGATGATGGACAGATGGACTTGTTGTGCATTACAATTAGGACTAAAATAGTTTATTTACAATATTAGGTCCATTTTCCAACTTACCGACTAACACATTTTACTTAAAAAAAATTTAACGCAGCAAAGCGACGTTTTATCATAGCTTAAAGTCCATAAGTTTTCCAAAAACAAGACGTGACCCGCTGCTTTGTTTTTCATCCTGAGGACGTTGCTAGGAACGCAACAACCGTTGCTAGGTAAACGACCCCGGCTTTTGGGCTGTTCAAAGATAAGCCTGTTTTAAATTTGACAATACGCTGTAAAATGACAAATTAAAATTACCTGGATTTTATTAGCCTATTACTCTAAAACGCCAGAATTTTGGTACATACTATTCAAACGTAATTCAAATCAGTCAACGTGATATTTTTAATACTTTTGTGATTAGGCATTTAAACATGCCTGCATTGATGTTTTTGATGCGTTTTCAGTTGCAACAAATAAACCGTTTTGCCGCCTCTCAAAAGTTTTTGAAGCTTTAGCATTAACACTCGGGGTTTTATTTTAAACTTTTGTAATCTAATTGTATGAATTTAATGTGTTTGTATCTGGTGATAACAGCGCTAAATTTGTTTCGGCCGGAGAAATGAATACGTATCACGTATTGGAGTTGGTGGGAGAAGGCTCGTTTGGACGAGTTTACAAGGGAAGAAAAAGGTTTACTGGCCGGGTAAGCTTGACGTGGTTTTCATTCCCTGTCTGTTCCACTATGTGCTAGTCTCACAGTCGGTTCATTTCTCTGCTTAGGTTGTGGCTCTGAAGTTCATGCCCAAAGTGGGTCGGTCTGAAAAGGAGCTGCGAAGTCTCAAAAGGGAAATCGAGATTATGAGAGGTCTTCAACACCCAAACATTGTTCAGCTCTTTGACAGTTTTGAAACTGAAACCGAGGTATGATCATAATCCTATGTGGAGTCCACATCTGATTTCTTAACACTGTGTGTAAAACCTCTTATTTCTGAAACAGGTTGTAGTTGTGACGGAGTACGCAGAGGGCCAGCTGTTCCAGATCCTGGAGGATGATGGGAACTTACCAGAGAGCCAGGTATTCACTCTCCCTGCACAGTTCACCTGTCTGGACTGATGGTTAGTGATAAACATTTCATTATTTCTCCAAGGTGCAAGAGATCGCCTGCCAGCTGGTCTCAGCTCTGTATTATTTACACTCCCATCGCATTCTCCACCGTGACATGAAACCACAAAATATCCTGTTGGGAAAAACTGGTGTGGTGAAGCTGTGTGACTTTGGGTAAGTTAAGGCAGTTTGTTTCTTTGTTAAAGCATCTGCATTTCCAAAAGCTTCAATTACATCTAAATGTGTTTGCAGGTTTGCCAGAGCCATGAGCGTCTCCACCTTGGTCCTGACCTCCATCAAAGGAACTCCACTGTATATGTCTCCTGAGCTGGTGGAGGAGAAGCCATACGACCATACAGCTGATCTCTGGTCTCTGGGCTGCATCTTGTATGAACTCCACACGGGGGCGCCTCCGTTCTACACCAACTCCATCTTCCACCTGGTGCAGCTCATCGTGAGGGACCAGGTCAAATGGCCAGACAACATGAGCCACACCTGCATGGTACAGTACAGCTACTATCTGATGTTTTCATTGAACACAATGCAATGCAATAATCTCAGGCTTCTGCAGTCATACAAAATATACAAAAAAATGAAACTGAATGATCACTTGACGGTGCATAAAAATAAAAATCTTGCAATTAAAAATAACTCTTCTATTCATATAACTGCAGTTACAATAGTTGAAAGTTATTTTTGCAAAAGGATGGAAACTTTTTTGAGGTTTAATCATTGTACTTTTGAGGCATCTGAATCATCTGCCTGAAATCAGGGAGATTAAATAGTGCTCAGTTTAATTCAGTTTATTCATACAGTGCCAATTCACAACAAATATTGTCCCAGGAAACAGCACAAAACATCCACATGCATTAAAAATGTTCATTAGTAAAGTTATCTATCTAAGGAAGCCAGCAGATTGTGTCAAATCTCCACAACGACGCTACCGCCCAGTCTGAGTGGCACACAGGCGACAGTAGGAAGGAAAAAGTCCCTTTTAACAATATATCCAGGTTCAAGATAGGCATCTGCCTCAACTGGCTGGAGAAAGAGAAGACAGGAAAGAGGCACAAACACAAAATGGCTGGTCCAGGTGCTATCTGTGGGGTGAAAGACAAAGAAAAATGATTTAATAATTGCACAAACGAACGTGTTAATGTGACCGTGTTGTTGCACAGGCAGGTTGTCAACATGCTGTAAATACTTCCATGTATAAAGTCTGCCTGTACACGCCACCCCCACCAACTGCGAGTGGATTTATAAGATAATAAACCATCAGTCTTCAGTAGATCTTCAGCTGTTTTGTAGTTTTGGCTCTTAACATGAGAAACGTAGAACTACATTAGTTACAACATAAGGAGTTGTTTTCCATAAACTATAACATTCTACTAATAATCAAAGTTATTGAGTGAATTTTTTTTTTTTTAAATGTCAATCAACAATAACTGATTCACACTATCAGATTAATGTTCTCTGACAGTTCTGTTGAGTAAAAATTATAAACACGTGGACATTTATTCTGATTTGATTATGTCTAGTTTGGAATAAATTTGCTCCTCGTGTTTGTTTGTTAGGTAACATTTTATGGCAGTAGTGGTTTCTGGACAGCTGTCACATTTATTTAAAAATAGTTGCCTCCACTGAGGTGGCACAGTGGCTCAGTTGATAGAGTTGTTGTCAAATTCCTGCCGGCGACCTTTCTGGGTGGAGCTTGCATGTTCTCTCCGTGCATGTGTGGGTTTTCTCCGGATACTCCAGTTTCCTCCCACAGACCAAAAACATGCATGTTAGGCTGATTGGTAACTCTAAATTGTCCCTAGGTGTGAGTGAGAGAGTGAATGGTTGTTTGTCTCTTTTGTCTCTATGTGTCCCTGTAATGGACTGGAGACCTGTCCAGGGTGTCCCCCCACCTCTCACACAGTGTTATCTGGATATGGGTACCAGTGACCCCAAAAAGGAAGAAGCAGGTAAAGATAATGGATGGATGAATGGATGGATGGATGGATGGATGGATGGATGGATGGATGGATGGATGGATGGATGGATGGATGGATGGATGGGTGGATGGATGGATGGATGGATGGATGGATGATGGATGGATGGATGGATGGATGGATGATGGATGGATGGTGCAGAGATTGGTCATAAGTAGTTTTACATTAAAAAAAGTTAACAAACGGGAATCTTTATTTTCGTTTACTGTTTTGTTGTTTTCCATCAGACTGAGAAGTCAAACTATTTTATATAACAGAATATAAAGAAAAAAGGTCACACACTGTAAATATTCATTTTAGCTTTCCGTTTTATTTTATCATTCTTAAAACAGTCAAGTTTGACTGATTCTTGAAAATAATATTCAAAATGATATTGTTCCATGTAACTACAGCTAATATTGTCTAAAGACTTAATAAGGTGTTAAATATTTTACGCCAAGAGAAGTTAAACTGCCGTTTCTAAATATTCCTCAGCCCTTGATGCTTCAAATTTGTATAATCCAAAACTTTCATTTAACACTATAAACTCTTTAATTTACAAATCACCTATTTCTAATGAATTTTCTTCTGAGAAATGAGTTATTTTGTTCATTTTTTATTAATAAAATCTTTATTATCAGAGCTCAAATTGTGCCATCTGCCTCTACTATTCAGCATGAGGAAGTAAATCACTTTTTCAGTTCATGTAGCCTCTTATCTCAGGCTGAGTTAGTAAGGACTATCAACTGTATGAAACCTTCTTCTTCTTTTTTAGATGTTTTACCAACAAATTTTTTTAAGGACATTTGTCACTTTTTAATTCCTGATATTCTAACAGTTTTTAACAAATCATTATCTACAGAGGTAGTTCCCAAGAAACCCAACCTGGATTGTAACGATCTTAACAACTTTAGGCCGCTCTCTAAATGACCCTTTACTGTGAACATTTTAGAGAAAGTGGTGTACTCTCAGATCTGAACTTATTTAAACCAAAACTCACTTTTTGAAAAGTTTCAGTCTGGCTTTCGTCAATATCACAGTACAGAAACCGCATTACTAAAAGTTGTGAATGATATTAGGATGAGCTCAGATGCTGGCTGCTGTTCTGTCTTAGTGCTTCTAGATCTTTCTGCTGCTTTTGATACAGTTGATCATAATATTCTACTGAGCCGACTTAAATTATTGGTTAGGTGTTGGAGACATTGCTCTGAGGTGGTTCAAATCTTATCTTCATGACAGAACTTTTTTGGTAGTTTCTGGCAATAATTCCTCTAGTTCAGCTTCTCTCACCTGTGGTGTCCCCCAAGGATCTATTCTTGGGCCACTGTTATTTTCTATTTATATGCTACCACTTGGTCAGGTTATTCATAAATTCAATGTTTCTTTTCATTTTTATGCAGACTATTCCCAGATTTATTTTTCTATTAACCCATCAGACCTCTCCACACTCAATAAACTTTATCTCTGCCTTACAGACATCAAAACCAGGATGTCTGATAATTTTCTTTCACTCAACAACGATAAAACTGAGGTGATGGTTTTTGGCCCCAAGGCCAAAAGGGATTTAGAAGTTCAGTCCCTTTCTGTTCTTGGTTTTAGCTGCACTCGTGAAGCCAGACATTTGGGGGTACTTTGATTCTGATCTTGGTTTTTCTAAACATTTTAAGAACATCACTAAAACAACTTATTTTTTCAAATTAAGAATATTGCCAAAATCAGAGCATTTGTCTCTTTAACTGATGCAGAAACTCTTATTCATGCCTTTTGTCTCTTGTCATCTTGATTATTGTAACTCTTTATTTTCTGGTCTGCCCCAAAGTTCTCTGTATCGTCTTCAACCAGTACAAAACACTGCAGCTAGAGTTCTCACAAGATAAATATCAGCACATCACTCCTGTTCTGTCCTCATTGCATGCACCCTGTGGTTTTTAGAATTGACTTTAAAATTGTATTGTTTGTTTTTAAATCCCTGAACGGTCTTGTGCCATCATATCTATCTGAGCTTCTTACCCCTACATCCTTCTTGCAACCTCAGATCTTTAAACCTGTTGTTACTTTCCACTCCCAGAGCTCGACTGGTGACAGAAGGAGGGAGGGCGTTTATGGTCTGGGCTCCTAATTTGTGTAATGCTCTTCCTTTAAATATTAGACAGTCCTCTTCGTTGTCTTCTTTGAAATCATTAGTTAAAACTTACTATAAGGATTTTAAGATCTGAATTTCTTTCTTTTTTATGTTGTTATTTTAATAGATTTGGTATACTTTTGTGTTTCTGATGTCATTTATGATGTTGTTTTAATTGATTAATGTGAAGCACTTTGTAACATTTGTTTGAAAGGTGCTATACAAATATAGTATTATTATTTAAATACTATCAATATTAATATTATTGAATATTTTCTTCCCAGAGTTTCCTGAAAGGCTTGTTGACCAAAAACCCCCAGAAGCGCTTGTCATGGCCCGACCTCCTGCATCATCCTTTTGTTGCAGATGGTGTTTTAGGTGATTCTTTGAAACCAAACTATTCTAACATTGTTTCATCTGAGCTCATCCACACGTTTGACTGATGTGTCTGCAGTGCTGTCAGACACCGACGTCTTCAGCCCTTTGACGGCCCCCCTCAGCCCAGACGTCCTGGCGCTGAAACTGAAGCAAGCAGCAGAGAAGTCGGTGCCGACGTCCGGGGAGAGCCGGTTACTGCAGAAGGTCCGGGAGCAGAGGGAGAACAGGAGCAAACCAGAGGTGCGTGACAGCAACGGCAAATGGAGTCGTCGGTTTATTTCATGCCGTCACGGAGGTTTGTTGTAAATTTACAGAAAACAAAGGACGGAACTGAGCGGGCCCACTCCGCATGCACGAACGTGTGCATCTCCAAACCCCGCTCCGGTGAAATTCCTGACGCCTCAGGTCAATTTGTCGTGACAGCTGCCAATCAAAGCACAAATCTGAAGAGTCAGACCCACACAAGATCAAAACAAAGGTATTTTTAATTGATCCCCTCCCAAAATATGTAAATATGTGCAACTAAAATATCCCCAACCATTTGTTTCTGCAGGGGACAGATCAGCAGAGACTACGAGCAGGAGTTCCCCTCCGTGGAGGTCGGACCAAGATTCGTGCGGAGAAACAGCGAAGACACGCTGCACAGGCAGCTGCTCGCTCCGGTAATTAAACCTTTGTTTATCCGTGTCTTCTCTTAGCAGCAGATCGATTAAAGAGATGTTCTGTAGAGGAAATGCGCCTGGCAGGATCTCTCACTTCCTGTTCTCTCAGGATGTTGGCAGTCAGGAGTACTGGGAGAATCTCGTGCAGGATTCAGATCCCAGCAGGCAGCAGAGAAAGCAGCTGAACTACAGTGACATCATCCCTCAAATCAAATCTAAAATCACAGCATTTCAAGTTCAGGTAAAGAGGTGAACATCTCGACCAAACACTTAAAAAGTCCCTCCAAAACCTGTTTGGCATTTAGTGGTTTTTCTTTGTTCAGCTTACTGGTGGTGTTATAAAAGACGTGCAACAGATTCACCGACCGTTGAAGCTCCTGCGTAATCTGATTCTGACTCCTGAGTGGTCGGATGGTTTCGGCCGTGAGCTCGGACTGCCACGGCTCCTCTTCCATCTGATCCACGATTCTGTTGCAAACCCAGATTTCCTCCAGGTCGGTCTCTGTAGTGGAAATATATCCACCGTCAGTGCAGCTGTGTCTCTGAGTATTTTGTACTTCCTCTCGCCCTCAGCGCCAGTGGAGCGTGCCGGTCCTTGGAGAAGCTCTAACTGTGCTCCTGGTCTACTGGGAGGCTCACAGTGACTGGGTGTCAGGGGAGCCCAGGTCAGCTTGTTGGGTGAACACTTATGAAACAGTCACACTACTGTGATCCATTTTTCTTCCGTACGTTTTTCGGCACGTTTCACAGTTTTCAAGCTGTTTCAACAAATCATAAATCAAAACATTCGGCTCTTCTAGAACAGTCCAGTTATGACTTTTAGTTTTGGTGCAACTTTAACTTTTTGAAATATTTAGCTTTTTCTGCCACTTTTTTCGCATAGAAAATGAATTGAGCTCATTTTACATCCTTCACAATTTTACATGTTTACAACCTTTTGCTGCTCCTTTCACATTTTGTTCTGCTTCAGCTTCTTTCAGCTTCCTTCTGCAAACTAATCATTTTTCAGCTACTTTCAGCTCTTTTTTTCAGCTGCTTTGTGCTTGTTTCAGGATTTTTATGCTAACAACATATTTTGTTTCTTCTTACTTCTTTCTGATAATTTCAACTTGTTATGCTCATTTCAGCTTATTTCTGCAAAGTTCAGCTACTATTTAGCAGTTTTTATGTTAATTTTAGCTTTTTCAGCTAATTCCACTTTTGCTACATTCATTTAAACTTTTCTGCCTAATTCAGCAAAAAAGTGCTTTCTCCACTTCCTTCTGGTAATTTAAGCTTCTTTCTGCTTTTTTAGCTACTTTTCAGCTGGTTTTATGCTAACTTCAGCTTTTTACAGATAATTTCCACTTTTTTATGCTTATTTCTGATTATTTCAGTCTATTTGGGCAAACAGGTTCTTTCTGCATTCTTTTGATAATTTTAAGCTTGTTCTACCTTTTCAGCTTTTTAGCATATTTTAGCTCATTTCATCTGTTTTCAGATAAATGCAAGTGTTTTTTTATCATTTCTGCTACTTTCAGCCTTTTTAAAGTATTTCTGCTAGTTTCAGCTTGTTGTGCTCCTTTCAGGTTATTTCTGCTAGTTTCATTTATTTCAGCTACTATTTAGCTGTTTTATGCTAGCCTTTTCAGATAATTCCACATTTTTTTGCACTCATTTCAACCTTTGTGTTCTTTCAGCTTTCTCCTGCTGATTTACACTTGTTCTACATTTCAGCTACATTTCAGCATGTTTATTTTTTTAGCTAATTCCAGCTGTTTTTCAGCAAGTTCTTTAGCAATAAGCATTTCACTGCATTTACGCAGGAAACACAGTTTCTCTAGTTTTGCTTGTTTTTGTTTGTTTGTTGGAAATGGACTTTCACCGAGCACGTCTCTTCCGCTTGTCCCGCAGACTGGAGGAGTTCACCAAGCCCCTCATCACAATTCTCAGCCAGTCAAACCTCGGCGCTCTTGCAGTGAGTTTCCTCGTTTTTTAAAGATGTTCGCCAACGACTGCGACATCGTGAAGCACGTTGGAAGCATTTGTTTGTACGCCCGCCAAAAGAGGGAACGTTTTATCACATAGTCTCAGTCCATCTGTAACTTAACAAAACTTCATACACATCTGCATCATCACTAGACGGAGCGTCGTGTACACTGTTCATCCTCACAACTTCAAGATCAAGGTCACAAATCAAGGTCACAGGTAAAGCAAGGTGTTTGTCCTGCACATACCTTCTGATCTGCTCAAGTCAAGTCACATTTATTCATAAAGCACATTGAAAAACAGCAGTTGTTGCCAAAGTGCTGAACAACAAAAGACAATGGCAGAAATTAAAAGCACAAACAAAAATTAATTAAAAGCATCAAAAGAAAATAAACATAAAACACCAAAACAACTCCCACTGGATTAAAAGTCAATGGAAACAGATGCGTTGCTTCAGATAAGTTATTGAAATTGGATGCATATACACATCACCATATGGAGGACTGTGTTCACTTTTAAACAACCCAGCTTCAAGGTCAAGGTCACTACTCAAGGTCAAAGGCGAAGCAATGTCTTTGCTTTGTTCGGGCCATTGCTACTGATTGCTGTATGCTTGTCTGCGGGTGTGTAAAATGTTATATACTTGTTGATCGTTAGCATTTAAAGCCGACGTTTGTTTATTTTCCAAGTGCTGTCATATTTTGATGATCTTTTATTCTTAAGATGGCTCGTGCACTTCTTCACATATTTGTGTTTCTTAGTTGTGATCAAGTGTGATCTTTGATCTGTGTGTGATCTGTTTTAGCCTTTAGCTGCTTCTGTTTTGTCTCTCTTCGCACAACACGGTGTCGATGTTTTCGTTGAGCTCGAGGATTTAACCTCCGCGCTGGAAACTCCTCTGCCCGACTCATCTGAGGTACTTTTATTCCTCCGCCATATTTTTCCGTGTTTTCTGTTCTGCATTATTTTTCTCTTTCTGCGTGGACAGATTTCCCTCCCGCCTGGTTGGGGGCTGTACGACGGCCTCCTTTCTTTACTGCTGCACGATCTTTACGAGGTTAGACCGCGTCCAAAATGTAACGAAACACAAACAGGTTTCACAGACAACCCGATCAGCTGTGTGCGTCACGCCTGCTCCTCTTATTGACAGCAGCGTGGAGGTGCTTCGGCATCGAGCCGTTTGAATTCTGGTGTTTTTGTGGGTCTGTGGAGAAAAGCTGCTGCTTCTCTTGGAAGCACACCAGCAAATGTCAACTTCTTTTCAGCAAATGGTAAAAATACAAATCCATTAAAAGCTGCTCCGTGCATGTCAATAATAAGCTGACTTGTTTTTCCTCTTCGCTTACAGGATTGCATTCGCTCCTGTCTGTCCTGCTGTTTGTGTTCACCCAGGATCCGTACTCGTGCGTTCCTCTTTTCTCACACAGCAGCTCAGAGTGCGTCTTCACACTTAGCCGGCTGCTGAGCCCTGACTGGTCAGTCCTCGGACGTCTTGTCTTTTGTTAGCCTTCAGAGCTGCGGAGCTCACAGCAGCATGTTTTTTTGCTCCCCAGTCTTCCCTGGCGTGCTGAAGATGCTCCCGGCAGGTCGGAGGTCGAGCCGAGTCGCTCCAGTGTGTCCTCTCTGAGCTGCCACTTGTTGTGTTTTCCGTTCGCCCTGGACCTGCCGTCACACATCGGGTCGGCGGTTCTGCAGGCGTACGACGGCTGCGGCGTGGCCTCGAGCCTCCTGCAGGTCGAGGCCTTCTCCTGCTTCGCTGCTAAACATCAGAAGTCTGACGCAACACAGAATAACTCTTGCCCAGTTCACATGTGGACGTTTGTCCTTCTGGGGAAGGATTGTTGTGTTTGCTGTTTGACACGTGACGAGTCCTTTAAGTGATTTCTTTGTTTGTTTGATGGTTTTGCAGGTAATTCAAACTCTTCCTCCTGCACTACTGGAGCTCCCCCTCTCCCTGCTGAGCCGTTTGTTCTTGTGTGATCCCGAGCGCTCCGGCTCTCACCTCGGTGAGGCTGCGTCTGGCTTTTTTTCATCACGTCAGGACGGCCAGCTCACAGCCTCTCTGTGTCAGGCTGCTCCCTCCAGAACCGCCAGCTCTCTCCTCTACGAGCTGCTGCAGCTCGATGCGCTGTGGGACTCTGCCGTGGAGCTGCTCACCCTGATGTCCCACGTGGCCCGTTGCACCACTCGGCCCGCCCGCCTGCGGGTACATGTCGAGGTTTCAGCGCTGCGGCAGGCGCTGACTCACCCGTGTGACCAGATCAAAGCTGCCACTTGCAGGTTTCTGGGCAACTTAGAGCTGTTCACACTTTCTGTAACCGATGATGCACAGTTTGACGTCTTCAGACTCATCATAGATCGCCTTAATGATTCCTGCGCGCCGGTGCGGAGGATGGCGTGCAGAGCTGTGGGGAACTGGCTGGGTTACATTGCAGCAGAGACGGGATTTAAAAGTGGAAGCTCCTGGAAAGAGAAGAAAAACAATAAACCTGTGGGTTCACGACTAAAAGCAGCAGGTCATTTGGTAACCGTAACAAAACAGAAGGTGGACAAGATGGAGAGATGGACACAGGAAGCAAAGAGGACGGCAGCCATGTTGGCGAGTCTGCTCTCCGACCCTGATGCTGTCACACGCCGTCACAGCTGCGCAGCTCTGGGAAACCTGCTGAACGTTGACGGTGCCATGTCCGTGCTGTTGGACGAAGACGTGCCCAGCTTCCTGCTCAGAACCGCGTGCTCTGATTCCCACGATGCAGTGAGGCGAGCTGCCATGGCGGCTCTGGGCCTGTACAGCCAGCAGGACGCAGTACGACAGGTAACAGAAAGGTTATTTAACTAATTAAAGATAATTGACCGCTGCTTTATTCTAAATTTATTCTAAATGATGGTTAATAAATTATTGTACTGCTTTGACTGTTAAAACCACTTTATCCACATTATTTTGTATTTTCAGTCTTTTTTTGTCTCTGAAGGTGCTGATCTCCCTGGATGCCAGTAAGAAACTTTTTCAGGCTTCACCACTTTCTCCACAATCTGACTGCCAGCAGCTTCTGGGTCAGCTGTGGGAGGGGTCCTCTCATCGGAAATTAAAAAACTGATTTTTTTTTTTAAGATCTTTAATACATATTCATCCTAATTACTTTAGAGAACTGGTATTTCCTGTTGTATATTTTCTGCAAATAAAATATTCAAAACTCATTATATGCTGTTCTTTTATTTAAAAAAAAATCACTTTACTGATTAAGATATTTTATCTTTGAAAGGGTAAATTCTGAAATAAAAACAAGATTTTATGTTGCGTTCACGTGTCGCTCGGTTTTCAGGCGGATTCATGATTTTAAATTAAAACTATAAAATTTTCGGATGTCGTACGTTGAGACAATCTTTAAAACTCCTTGAAATGTTTATTTGTTAAGAAAATTAGTATAAAACTGAACATAGTCTAACTTTTATTCTTTCAAAACGACATTTTCGACCATGAAGGGTTTTACTTTAACTTTGTAGGAATTTTTATTTTTCTTCCGCCTTCTTCAAACAGGCTGGTTCCGGCGTCCCTCTGGGCCTAAAAATATAAACTTTCCATCCTATAAAAATGTGTGTTTATTTTTATTTACAGGTTTGGGGATTTTATTTTAGTTTTGCGCAGGGAACTTAAAAAAAAATAATAATCAAAATCCGTCCGACTCGAAAAAAACAACAAAAAAAACACCGGTGCGACTTCATGACACACTTTATTTTTTTATTTTAAAGGGAAATAAATTTACATCACACAAAAGAAATGTGTAAGATATATCGGAGTAAGTTAGGTTGAAATTACAAAGCGTCATATTGCTTTATTTTGGACTAATCGATGTTGATTGATAGTACACCGCAGGAGTCAGAACAAAAAAATACAGACAGGACCTGAACACAACCCGGCGCTAATACTCAAGATTGTCAATAAATAAATGTGCTACAAAAAAAAAAGCCTCTAAAACATCTCGTACCGTCAAAAAGTTACATCAGTTGATAAAATATTGGATAAAATAATTCAGATGCCAACAATAAAAAGGAGGGGGTATTTTTTTGTCAAGTTTTCTAGAAAAAGAAAAGCTTTACACACTCCTTGAACATATAAAAAGTTCTTACAAATTAGTGCAGATGAGGCCTAAAAAAGTTATTGCTTTAAGAAGCAGAAAAATCCTCCACTTGTTTCTGAATCTCTAAATATTCTGTTTCAAAAAGTGAATTAAAGCCGACGCATGCAAAGGGAGGCTGCTAAAACACGAAAAGTTACGATTTTACAGATGTAGAAAAATCATTTAATCTCAGAAAGATGATAGAACAGACGAGCTTCCAGTTTATCTCCTGCCGTGACGAGACAAACTGTGTCCTGAGCTTTGAATCACATGAAAACACAATAAGATGTTCGTTCAGAACTGTAAGGAATGCGTTCGTTTTATTCTGGTCACGAGTAAAATAAACATTAATTGCTCTTAATGCTGAAACATGTGGCTGTCGTTGGTTTTGTTCAAATCAAATAAGCACCAAAATAAAAGCACCTTTTAAAGGCTAAAATTCTTCTAAATCATTTAAACTGATTAAAGCCAATTAAATGTGTGGTAGCACTAATAAAAATATACAACTGGAAGTTATTTTCACACCAGTGGCTCTTTCTGCGATTGTCAATATTTAACAGCAACTCGAAAACATTTAAACAGGCAGCAATGATTGCCACAAATAAAAAATTAAAAATAAAATTGCCTGGAAACAGAAATATTGACGCCAAGATATATTTTACAATTCAACATAAGTCACACAGTGATTTAAAATAAAACTTTTGAAGTAGAAAAAAAAAACCCATAATTTCTATTGCTGACATCAATTTTAGTATAAGGCTATTATAAATACACAACCTGCTTTTTAATTTGTTTTAGTTTCCGATAAATAAATACAATTCACAAGGAGGAAGATCTGCTACAAATGATTGTCAGGTAAAGCGTTGCAATGCCACAGTGAAGGCTCAAGTGATCTCAGAGTGGAAAACAATGGAAGCATTGGGGAGCGCTGATTCAAAGTGTAGAAAAGAATCCACATTAGTAAAGCATGCATCTGCCCCCTCACCATCAAAAACAAAACAAGTCACAGAAATCCAAACTCAAAAGCACTAAACTCAACGTTCTTCCAGTGACGCTGGATTTCGAGGTCTTTGCTGGTTACGCCGTAGTGTCCTGCTTGAGCCTTTGGCTTCGCGCCTTGTAAACTTCAATCAGCAGGTCTTTGACGTACTGGATCTCACGCTCCACGGACTCTGCCTTGTCCCGCAGCTCCCGGTTCCTTCCCTCCAGGCAATGCAGCTGCTCCTCCAGAGAATCTAGCTCCGCCCTTTTTCGTTGGCGATACCTGCATTAGGCAACAAGATAATATTCAGAACAATTGTTGTTTTTTTAAATGACCCACGAGGCCTCAGTTTTTCAGCTCGGGCCTTATAGGTCATTTTGACCCAAGGGGCAGCAAGACACTTAAACAATGTCAAATTTTATGATTTTTTTTTTTTTTTAAATCATGTAAAAATGTAAATTTACCTATGAGCAGCAGTTTTGTTCTGATCTCTTTTCTTCTGCTTTCGCTCGCCGCCTTCATGTGGAATGATGTCCACTTCGTATTTCACAGCACAGTGGTCGTCTTTCAGCCTGCATGCCTGCCTGTGCCCTGGGGAGTCCAGGCTCAGACTCTCTCGGGACATGAGGAAACATTCTGGGGCCTGATGCTCGAGATAATTACAGTGCAAATCAGGTGGAAGTATTTGGAGACCTTCTGCTTTCACCTGTTCGTTGATGTTCTCCAAGTAGCTGTGATAGGCCTCAGACTGGGGCGCTGCTGGAACGTAACAACCTTCGCTGCTGTCGGTTTTCCACGAAACGGTGGCTTTTGTCACCTCCACGCTTGCTTTGACACTGCTCAGCACCTCGTTGCTGCCGGTGCCACCGCTGACCTCCCTCATGCTATACATCAAAACATCTTCTTTCTTATGCGGGGCATCGAGCGACCCACCAAAGCCAAACCCACCGCCGACAACCTTTGCGCCGCTTATCACATCTTGAGTAAAACAGCAATTTTTCTCATCTTTGGATAAACCGGCACATCGTCTAACCTCGATTGCGTTGCCCAGACAGTAGCTTTTCCCTACCAGCTGGTCATCTTCCACACAGCCATAACTACCTGTAAGGGCCACGGCAGAGTTACCTGAGCTACTTCCTTTGGAACTCAACAAACTGTTGTCGTAGCCTTCGCTGAACCGAACTCCATCAACAACTCTTTTCCTACTACACCCACTGGGGCGACTGCAGCTGTACGGGGCGTGTCTGGGAATTTTGGATCTCCCGATTGACCCGCCACAGATACTCAGCAGGTCCAGCTCTCCGGTTGCCAGGGTAACAAGGAGGGGGTTGGATTCCGATTGGTTGGACGTTGAGTACGATGCGTATGGAAGTTGACTGAACGGCTGAGGACCCGCCGGCAGTGGACCCCGGTCGCATTTTCCCAACCTCTGCCCTTTCTCTGGCAGCGGTTCAGACAGGAAGTAGTCCTCTAGTTGGGCAAGTTCCTCTTGCAGCAGAGAGGTCATGACCTCCAAGTCAGAGGGCACCTGGATATCATTCTGGAGGGGTGAAGGGGGAAGGGAGGCATTAGTGGAGGAGGGAGGGGAAGGAGGGTTTGGGAGGTATGAGGAGAAATCCACTTCTTCCGTCATCCAGTCAGTGAGACCATAACCTATAGAGGACGATAAAAACAACGTTCATTATAAGATGATTGATGGGAAAAAATGTTACAGTTGAAAATAAAAAAAAATAGAATAAATCACGCAAATAAAAACGGTAGTTATTAGCAGTTTAAGTAGCAGTTTTGTAAAAGCATAACCTGGTCGACCATCGTACACGCAAAGCATATTTTAATGAAGTCGTCCGACATCGACAGCGTAGACGTAGCTAGTTTTTTACTTACTGTTCAAGAAGGACGAATCTGCTGCAGTGCCGAGCCCACCTGAAATGGGGAAAAATATAAAAAAACGCACTCGCGGCAACTCACCAATTAAGCGCTGGATCTCCTCTGACACCTCCCCCCTGCACCCCTGTGATTGGCTGTGGTTAGCCTGTGGGTGAGAGAGAGTGAGGGGGTCTGCCGGGCAGACACGAAGAGTCTTCCAAACATGAGCCGTCGTCGCCATCGTTTTGTCTGCTGATGCTTTGATTCAGTCCAAGTCCGAGCATATGCTGAGAGCGAGCAGGGTCTGACAGATGGGCCACAGAGAGCAGGGCAGGGTGAGCATAATGAAACCTGGAGGGTAAACAGAAGAACGGGGATCAGAGAGCTGTGCCACTTTCAAAGACCCGGCTTTTTCTGTCAACTGATGGAACAACAAATGAGAGTCTGTGCACCACCGTTTGGTGTTTTTGCGGCTTGTGGAAAAACTCACTTATAATTGAAGAAGTTGTGCATATTTGTGAGGTACCTTCCACTTTTCTGCACAAGCACAAACAGCAAAAACTTTTTTAAAAACTAAACAGAACAGCCAGTTCCAGCCGATCGGAACAATAAGTGACGCCGAGAGGAAAACTGTGTCCTTTGGACTTTCAAAGTGCCTCAAAGCAAAATGAGCATCACATCTCCAAAACACGTGGGACTTGACAGTGACGCTGTCAAGGGCCCAGTTGTTGATATGAAGCTCCACAGCAACCACGTCTCTTTAGTGAGAGGCACCCTGGTGGTTAAACTGGATTAATGCAGATTAGCTGCTTCTAATCCATGTTTCTTTGAAATGAACCGCCTCTGTTTGATCACTTAAATGGCTCAGATTACAACAATGTCAATACCAAAGCTCTACCCAGGAGGCTGCAACTGCTTTCTTGTATTGTAAAGTTTTGATTGTTTTTTTTTAAAACTTCCATTAACACTTGGCAGATTTGAATCAAAATAGCAAGACTCCCATTTGAAGTTGTGAAATTATATATCCACTTAGGATAATAAAGGCTGGAGGCTTTATAATTAATACAGTTAAGTATCTTCCTAACAAAAATACAAGACAGTATAACATGCATTTATAGAAATAAAACAATGAGATTAAACAAGCAGAAGATAATCAGCAACTATAAATGTGGTTTAAAGTTTAATAAAGTAAACAAACAAAACAGCTAGCCTAAAATATTCGTGATAAACAAGTGCGACCGGTGTAAACAAGACGGTAACGAAGTACAGTTTGACTTACTCCATTCTTGCAGAAAAACTGTAGAGCACTTGGGGGTGCGTTGCTGAAGCAAAGCACGGCTTCTTTTAGTGTCCAACAAGTCGACGGAATTAAAGAGCCATAATTCAGCTCCGAACACCCGGGACGAGGCAAACAGGACGAGATGCTGCTTTGTTGTGGTCGACCTGTACACTGAGGAGGAGCTTGAGACAAAGCACCGCTTCATTCACACCTAGCAACCAGCTGCGTCACCGGGATAAAAGAGCTGTTGCTCGGCGCAGAGATCCCTCCGCCCCGCCCTGCCTGCGTCCCTCCGCGGACCACCGAAGGACGTACCACTCCCACTGCCGCCGCAACAGAGCTGAACAAAAACAAAGTAGTAGGACTCCTGTTTCTTCTTTAAAAAAAAAAAAAAAAAAAGTTGCATTTGTAACATCGTTAAACGTTATGTTCTGAAAAGTTGTGGTCTAGCCGTGGATGCTAACTGTTAGCATGCTTGCTAACTATTAGCACACGTGTATGCTAATTAGTATTAATTAAACAAAAACACTTTTCGAATAAAAAAAAAACACATTTCGGAGAAGAGTCAAAAGACAGCAAAATGCAGTCTCAGTCATTTAATTCAGGTAAAAAGAAAAAAAATATATACATTTATTTTGGTTCCACTTGTATCCCTCAGATGTAATCACATTACTGTAACGGGTTCCGCTTGTCGTAGCTCTTTGTTGCCATGGAGATGAGGCGGCGCCCCTCGTGTGTGAGCCCAGCAGGACGTAGCTGCTCGGTAATGTCCATAACCTGCTACTGAGAGACCTTTTCTAAAAAACAGAGCTCTCCAGCATGCAGGCAGTACACTGCACTTTACCACAAGGCATCGTATTTTGTTGTAGAGGGACTACTTGATTCATAACACACTTTGTTATTCGGTAGGAAGGCTGTTGCATTGTCGTTGCATCAGTGGTCCGCGCCTAATGTGATTGGCTGTTCGGACCTGAACGAGGCTTCGTGATTGGCTGGAATCCGCGCCGTCTGTAATGTGATTGGACAGTGGTAGGCAAGGCGAACCGTCAGCGTGTTGATGTCTTTTCTTTCCTGCAGTGCAGACTCTGCACATGTTTCATGTAAACAAACCGGGTGTGGAGTTTAGGGGAAGTAGTTTTCCAGACCCAAGAGTTTTATCTATTTACATTTTTACAAACTTTTTTTTGTCCCTTAAAAACAGAATGTCTTGAAATGGTAAAACAAATAAAGATGTTTAAAGCCACTATTCTTTGTTGTTGCTGTAACATACATTTGCAATTACGCTTAATAATTAAGTTATTATGCCTTTTTTTTCTTTTCTTTTTTACTTATAAACACTTTTAAAATCCCAGTCACTCTTTTATTCAGGCTGTCAGTGCCAGTGTTATACAATAAATGACAATAAATAGTGATTAAGGACAGTATTCACTAAAGGTTGTTGATCGTTTTCTTAATACACTTGGAAAAATCTTATTTTGCGTGGCTAATTTAGTGAGACAGAGCTGACTGAAGTAAATAAAGTTACTGACAAGGACTGTCAATAATAGATGTGTAAGAAATAAAGCTGTTTTTCTTCTTTCAGCAAATCCTGGAGCGGAGCAAGTGCATTGTTCTCCTGTTGCTATAGCGATAGCGGACACTGCCCCCTATTTTAGACTTGTTTTCTGGTTGCTGTTGCCATGGGATTTGCATCTCTCTCTCTTCTCTTTACCTACTGTTTTCCTTTTGCCTCTCCTCTGTAAGTCTAACACGCCCTGTCCAACCATTTCCCATCTCATTTGCTGAGTTGCATCTCTGTAACATAATCACTTTGCCAAAACCAATAGATTTATTTACAGTTCTGCTCACTCTGCATATTGATGAGCTTGTAATAGATTTATCTGCCACGACACATAGCTGTGTCTTTAGAGGAAGTGTGCTCCTGACGTGAACTGACAGGACTAACTTGAGTAAAAGACAAGCTTGACTGGTGTAAATCAGTCAGTTTTATCTAAAAGTATTTAAAAGAACACTTCTTTTTATTGGAAAACTGTTCAGCAAAATGTGTTCTATAAGAACCACTGAGAGAATTGTAGAAAAGGCTGCCTGATGCAATCTAGATAAATGTGGTCGTAATGGAAACCAGATTGAGATCGTAGTAGTTGGTGAAGTTGGCAGGTCTCACAGGAAATCGCTGACTGCTCTCTCTGTCTGTATTAATTGGCCCACTGAGGACTTCCTGTTTGCGTGTCATGAGAGAAATCCAAGGTGCTGCTTGTGGTGATATGGATGTCTTTTCCTGTTGTCTCCTCTATTAGGAGCAATTTATTTTGTCATTATTTAGAAAGCGATGTGTTCTTTACACAGAAAAGCATATTTATGTCTGCTGCTGGCTTGAGATAATCCGGCGGGCTCAGCGCCTCGGAGCCATAACGAGAAAACAAACAAGTTGTTGAAGCAGCAAAACCAAACTTAACAAGCCAATTTAGTCTGCATACACAACACTGGATCAAACTGGCCTTGGTGTGTCTTTTGAGATGTTTATTTTAGAACAATAAGAAACGATAACCAGATTGTTGTACACGAGTTAAAAAGTTAGAAAAGTCGACGCTGCATGCCAAGTGCAAGTATGGCACGTTAGTAAAGGTTACACCATCATTTCATCATCATCTCTCTCAGAATTTATTGTCCTCAACTTTTGCCCCTCTTTGAACATATGAAGAAAACATGTAGTTCAGTTACCACTTGTGAATGGAAGCTGCTCAGAGGGGATTTGTGGATGTCTCTGCTCGTGTTCAGCCCGCTGATTGCTTACATGTTTGTCTGTTTGGCGTGAAAACAGATAATCGATTCTACAAAAGGTGACGAGCGGAATTAAATTTACCTTCATGAATGTTAAAACTACGTTTGGCATTCAAGCCGCGACAAAACGGAACAAGTCAGTCACAGGTTTATGTTTATTTACGATTCCTCAAGGACTTTATGGTGAGTTAGAAGTGTTTGATGTAAAAGACTGCAGCACACATTTATCCATTTTGGAGGTCTGAGGTTTTAGTATCTATCACTTTACATTATCTTAAACTCAAATTATTTAATGAAGAACTTCTATTTTACTCATGGGTTGGTGAAAAATGCTCATTCTGATAAAGTTAGCGCTAACATCAGGAAATGAATTAAATTAAGCAAAATGACACTTAGTAAGTTAATCAAATTTGTTTGATCCCCATCTCATAAGATGCTCCAATCCACCATGGTCACGGTTCTGCTAATCTGCTAACGGCTAATAGCAAAGCTAACATTCTGCTTAACAAATTAGCGTTTTTGCTAATGCAAACCGTTAGCGGACCAATTAGCTTCTGCTAACTTTAAGTCCGCTAACAACATTCACAGGTTTGTTCCTGCTTGTTGTGGGCGTGTCTCGAAGAGTCCTCTAGGCAGGCTACTGGCTGATGTGATAGGTTGAAGAACTATTGTTGTATCTCCAGTGCAGTTCTGGGATGTTCCATGCAGTTATTCATATGATTTCATAACATTAAAAATGTTTAGAATATTATTAATTTATATTTCATATAAGCCTATAAATTTAATAGTTTAAAACTTTTATTTTTATGTTGCATTAATGTTTGTATTATTTTATTTAAGGAAATTGCAATCCATGCACCAGTAATCAGCTAGTAGGCCTTTTCTGGGATTGACTGGTAGTTCCACACCCACCACTAGGGGGCGGTTGCGTTCTCCTTTCAGTCCATTAAACTGCTGAGAGAGAAGCAACTTAAAATCACTCTCGTGATTTCCCAAGTCCATGCTCAATAATCCAGGTATAAAATCCAACAATTTTCAGTCCGGTAATCTGGATGGTTTCTTTTTTTTGTGCTGAGTCATTTTGCCTTCCATCCAGAAGGCTTCATCGGTCTGAGGAAACGCAAAACAAAACTTCTCCCCCAACAGGAAAAAACTGGAAACTGGATAACAACAAAGTCCATGCTCAATAATCCAAGTATACAATCCACCATTTTTCAGTCAGGTCATCTGGACAGTTTCTTTTTTGGGGGGCTGAAATGTTTCGCCTTCGATCCAGAAGGCTTCATCAGTCAAGGAAACGCACAACACAAAACTGATTCTTCCCCCAACAGCTTACTCCAAAGTGGAACAAACCAGTTATGTTGGTGCTAAGATGGTCTCTTTGTCATGCCCCCTCCTCCATTGCTGGCCCTCTTCCTTGTTGACAGTTGTGTCAAACTGGTTGAAAACAACAAAGTCCATGCTCATTAATCCAGGTAACTGGATACTTGGATTATTGAGCATGGACTTTGGTGTTTTGAACCAGATTGACATGACTGTCAACGAGGGAGAAGATGGGCACCGGAGGAGAGGGCGTGCCCTAGAGACCATCTTAGCACCAACATAACTGTTTTGTTTCCCACTTTAGAGTAAGCTGAAGTGGAGGTGGTGGAGAAGTACAAATAACTTGGGGTTCGCCTGGACAACAGACTGGACTGGAAATGCAACAGTGAAGCCGTCAACAAGAAGGGACTGAGCAGACTGTACTTCTTGAGGAAGCTGAAGTCCTTCAATGTTTGCAGCAAGATGCTGCATATCTTCTACAAGTCTGTTGTAGAGAGTGCTATCTCTTCTGCCATCATCTGCTGGGGGAGCAGCACCAGAGCAAGTGACTTACAAAAGATCAACAAGCTCATAAAGAAGGCTGGCTCAGTTCTGGGGACTCCTCTAGAACCTTTGGAGATGATTGTACAAAGAAGGATTCTTCATAAAATGAAGAACATTATAGACAACCCTCAGCATCCTCTTCATCAGACTGTCATACAACAACAGAGTGTGTCAGAGGCTTCTTCAGATCCGCTGCAAGACAGATCGCTACAAGAGATCCTTCCTGCCCACAGCATCAGCATCTAGAACAACTCTTTAATGAAACCAGGATGATGAGTTACAACAACATTTAATTTCCCTCTGGGATTTATAAAGGTGCAGCACGGTGGCACAACTGGTAGAGCTGCTGCCTCACAGTGAGCAGGTTACCCTGGTTCAAATCCTGGTCCGGGGGCCTTTCTGGGTGGAGTTTGCATGTTCTCTCCATGCATGTGTGTTTTCTCTGGGTACTTGAGTTTCTTCCCACAGACTGAAAACATGAATGTTAGGCTGATTGGTAACTCAAAATTGTCCCTAGGTG